GTGAGAACGCTTGAATATTTTAGTGGTTCAACGGGCAGATGTTCATTGTTATGAATTAATCATTGACCAGAAGGCTTAGCTTACCACAGGCAGATAAACGTTTCGGCTCTCGGTAATTTCTACCTCCTGTAGCCAGGCTTTGTTTCTCTCATGGGGTATGCAATATCACCCATATACGAATGTTAAATATACTTTTGCTTGATAAACCATTGTAGTTATATGACATTGAGTAATACTTACTTTTGGTTTGAAATTGCTGATTAACACCTATATTTTTCATCAACGAAATCCATTCAATAAAAGAAGGGACAACACCAGTTATAGCATACTGAAGGATTGGTATAGACTTAGTTGAAAAACTATTTTTTTTCTTTAAAATGATATTTTCTAAGATGTCTTTCAATTATCTGAATCAATAAAATAAGAAATGTAGTTTACATGAAAGACGCTTTCTACATAAAATATCATATTAGCGCTAAAGCAACGGTGAAATACTTGTTTGTTAATGACTCGGAATGCTTTAAACGTATATTATGTTTTGATACGGCGATGAATAATAACATCGTGGAGGTTTATAGATAAACTAGTAATAACCACTAGTAACTTATTTTGAATCGCGGCTGGATCATATACAATGTCGTGGCTTCCAAGAAATATGTTTTACTGTTTACATATATATAACAAAGAAATATAATATAACGTAACGAACCATCCTGACTGATGCATATGTGATTCCATTCACACATCAAGCATTTGATTACTCGCATTTTGTTTTTGGTTACGGTTTCGTCTTCCATGAACAGTGCTACCTTTGCACAACATAATACATAACTTCTGCGTGTTCTAATAGTTAGTGTATCTGGCTGCATATCGAGGGTCCGGGGCTCGAGACGTGACACCGATGAAATACATTCTGCACTTTCCGCTGGGACACGTTGTAAAGATGACAACCCGTTCCGTTATTCGGTTCAAAAACCCGGAACATTTTTGTTTGTTTTTCTGTGGTGATGAAAGCTGCTGGTTAACTTTTTCCTTTGGTCAGTAATTCAAAATTATGGACAGCTATACTTGAATTCTAGGGGGTTCTGACCAGGACATTTATCCCCCTTCCTCCATGCGAACAAAGTACCGTTCAAGCTGAAAATTCCAAATTTTACACCTGTTTTGTCAGCTCGCAAATGCCATAAATTCTGAGAGCTATTTTATTGACAGTAATTACATGTACTTTCCAAAACCAGTGTCTTATGAACGTTGTTAGAAGATACTGATTTTTAGCTAGAAACCTTTAAGTCCTGGAAGATGGGGCTTAAGTATCAAAACATACGGTCTTTCCTTCTTAGTATAAAGAGCATTTTTTTATGAGCATCTAATTTCTTATAAACACATTAATGAGTTATCTCGCTAATAACAAGTAACTGAAAGTCTTATGCAAACAATCATCAAGTTAAAATTACAGAATGAGTATCTTTACTGATTATTTAATTATTAAATTTGCACAGGATTGAATAGTTATATTTAATATTTCGAAGTTCCAACAACGAATGAAAACAAAACTATTTTCCTCCAACAACGTCTCCATGTTTCACCTGCGAATTGAATACTCAATAATCAATAACAGTTCCGGTTTCAGCAAAGAATTAAGTACATTTATTCAATAATAGTTCAAACTTAAAAAAAAAAGAAATAGAAAAAGAAATCAATCTCCTACTCAATAATTCTTCCAAGTTTCAAAAATATGATGAGGATATTTGCTCTGTAGTGCAATTTAAACTTTTAAAAATGAATTAAGTACTTTTATTCAGTAATGTTTCAGGCCTCAAAACCAAAATGAGCATATTTACCTAATAATAACTTTAAGTTCCAACATCCCATTGAACCTCTTTTTTTAAATTCAAGATCCGACTGAATACATTCAATCAAAACACAATTCAAGTTCCATATCTGGATTGAATATGTTTTAATCTATAATAGTTCCAATTTCTAAAGACGAACTGTATATCGATACTAAATAACGGTTGTCATATTCTAACAACAGTATTTTATTCAGCATTGTTCAAAGTACCAGGAACTGACGGAGTGCGTATACTCATTAAAAACTCAATATTTCAATATTTTCATTACAGTGTTACGCACACTCTGTAAAACAACTTGTGTTTGTCGAACGTCTGTATGGTGTTTGAACGTGTTCAATGAAGTTCAAGCTACAAACAACACAATTATTGTGAGCGAACAAAATAGGACACAAATGTGTTGGTTGATGCACAGTCTTTGTTTTGATTTTATACAATCTACGTACACATAATGATATTAAATTAAGGTCAGATGAAGAGCGATTCGTTTCCACCACGTGATACTCCCGAACGGTTCACACCAAACTCGTCATAAAAATAGGACTTTATAACACCTTAGTGTATTTCAATAAAAACAATTTTAAACTGAAAACCGTGCGTTATTTATGTTGTCAAAAACATCCACAATAATCTTGTGCATTTGTATTGCTACAATAATTCAATTTCGATGCAGTTTATAGAAGTCTGTGTTTGGGGAAGAAACTTTGTGTTGTTGTAAAATAACGCAATGTTTGTGTTAACTGACACCTTAACTTTTTTAGAGTGTAATTATTTTAGTTGTTTTTATTCTTTTTATAAATTATATTCTCCAAACCTAGTTGCCTTTCATCCTTTTAGTGGTGTACTCAAGTATCAAGTTTTGATTGATTTTTTAATGTTTAAAGGATGAAAGTATTCGTGTGCTAGGAAAAATAAGATAGATAAAAATTAACCAGCCTCATATAGGACTAGATACCAATCTTTTCCCTATACAACTAAAAAAACAATATAAACAAACGCTCTTCTCATTGTTCATTGTTGCAACTGTAAATAAGTTGTGTTTGCCAGAAAATAATACAGTATGATAGAAACATAAAAGTAAGGTTAAAATTTTGTTGAGCAAGGTACTGTTACAAAACGTATAGTTAGAAAACACGCTGGTCAGTGTACACATTAAAAATTGTGTGAACGTAAACGAAAATAGGTTTACTGTTATCATGTTTTTCACAACCTTTATGATAAACGTATTTTAACAGTCGTGTATATATAATAAATAAAGCTGATTCAGTTCATTCGTAAAAAAAATACATAAGTAATTGACTAATTAATAAGAGTCTTGGCTAACTTAATGATATCTTAACCAAGGATAGTGAAATATAGCTAAATATTCTTTCAGTCATAATAATTCAGTGTTGGGTTAGAAAATGTTTACGTTATTGATTTCGAATTACAAAAAGCTACATTTTGAAACGACTAAGAAAAAAGTTAAAATAGTCCTTATTTAAAATAAGCTCAATACAAGTTGAAACAGTTCGTTAACAGCACTTTCAGCTTTATTTTTATTATTATTCGTTTATAGAAAGTTGAGATCCTACATCTATAAAATCTGCATGGCTGTTGTTTCAACTTGATGCTGGGCGTGGCTTATTAACTGATGTTCCGGGACTATGAATTAGAGGATTCGTGACTCTCTTCCTTTTGCCGTACCAGAAATGTGCTTTGGACTTCGGGCCCTTGGGTGCACTATTATAGTTATGGTTAAACTTCTCTATTCGGTCAGATAAAAGTAGCCTAAGAGGAGACGGTTGGTGATGTTGACTCACTATTCGGTCAGATAAAAGTAGCCTAAGAGAAGACGGTTGGTGATGTTGACTCAATATTCGGTCAGATAAAAGTAGCCTAAGAGGAGACGGTTGGTGATGTTGACGCATTATTCGGTCAGATAAAAGTAGCCTAAGAGGAGACGGTTGGTGATGTTGACTCACTATTCGGTCAGATAAAAGTAGCCTAAGGGGAGACGGTTGGTGATGTTGACTCACTATTCGGTCAGATTAAAGTAGCCTAAGAGGAGACGGTTGGTGATGTTGACTCACTATTCGGTCAGATAAAAGTAGCCTAAGAGGAGACGGTTGGTGATGTTGACTAGCTGATTTCCCTATAACCTATTAGTTTCAAATTACGCAAAAAAAGTATTTTGTGTAGCTTTTTACGAAAATTCTAAATCAAACAAACGTTTTAGCTTGACTTAATTATTCCAAACAAAACATTTTGACATTATTATATCGCTGCTTTCTTACTTGATATCAATAATAAAACGTTTCCAGTAAAAATATCACGTAATGCGCCATATGAACTACGCTTGGAAAGTGGTTGAAAACAGAAACCTGTAAGTATACAGCTTTATATCCAGAGATAATTAAACCAGTCCTTCCACACGTGTTTGCAAATTCTCTTCTCAGTTCAAGTTATTACATTTATGAAATGGACAGATATATTTTGCATATCTAACATTATTGAGCTGTATGTGGAGATTTTAACGACAAACTAAGTTCTAATGAAAGTTTTTATATGCATTTCAAATAATCATTGTAGAGTACTGATTGTCAATTTATTTCTTAGTTAACGCAGTCGTTCCGATTCCTTCTTTGTATTGTAACTTTCACCGTCATGCAATGGAGCGTTAAAGTGTGCGTTATTTCCATCAATCACAGTGATATTGCATTCTGCTAGGAGATAATTTCGAATTTTATATTATATACTGAGACACTTTTTCTTAGGTTTCAATTTTTATATATATCTTATATATAACCTTACTAAAATTTTAGTCACGTTTTCCTAAGTATTAAATATTTTGCAGATCGCACTCGTCCAAACACTTTGAAATTTGGTTAATCGTAATAGATTTTCAATACATATAAATATATATATTATTCATGTTCGTTTACGTAACGAATCAATTACTTTATCATTTATGCAGACAACATAACTTACGAGGACACTCAGTGTAAAACATACTATGTAATACCAAGTGTCACTAGATAATATAAAAATATAACAGGTGTCGTGACATTTACGTAACTTTGAAAAATATCCCAAGTTTATAATGTTATTCAAATCATTAAATACTAAAGAAACATGACCAAAATGAAAGCATCAAAATATATATATATATATATATTCCCAGATATAAGTTTATGCCGGTAAAGTACTTACTGACACAATAAACGACTTACACATTTTCATTTGAATTTCATTGTTGTTTAAGTTAAAACAAAAATGGCAAGAATACGATTTTATCTTTATACTACATTTATATGTTTTCATGTAATTCTAATCAAACAAACTATAAAGCACTTAAACTGGGTACGGTATTATCATGTTTGGATAAACTGGGGAAATCGATCAAGTCACGCATCCAACATGCACAGATATAATGTCAGCATCACTTCAAGACTTTTCCAGCTATTTTGCCACAAATACTTTGTTTATACATAGAAAAAAGTCTGTATTAAAGTTCCATAGATGAAAACGGTACTGAATAAAACCTGAACCGGAAAACGAGTCAAGAAAATTTATCGATATTAATGTTTGAAATGAATGTTAGTATCATAAATGTGCATTTATCTATTTTATTGGTTTTCACTATTGGTTTTCCATATTTGATAATCCAAGCTATGCATATTGTAGTTACTTTCATAAGGTTTGAATGGATATCATGTTGGACTGTCTTAAGTAAATCCTTCTTAGCTAATCCCTTATTAACTCATTTAAAATGCATAGCTATAATATAATCCCAACTCATCAAACTTGGTAAAACCTGAATATTCTCTTCTGTTCTGTTCTTTTTCCTGAGATATTGCTGACCTTTGAACTGTGGGGAATGATTTCTTTTTTCAAAAATAAGCACAGTTTGTGGTAAAAGCAAACATATCTTTTGTTGCAACACAAATAATGGAACCTAAGGCATTAATCAATGTTTGTCTACACAAAGGAGACATCGATATATATGTATATATATATAGTGTTATGGTGATCCTAATGGAGAATTATTCAGGACACATGACATAGTAACAGTTTCAACTTGTGAATGTGGTTTTCAGTTTTACTTCGGTGTTAAAACACGATCCATGTGTAACACATGCACACAATGTTTCTTTCTTTTCTGTCAGTAGACAGTGTATTGATTTCTCTTTCATATGTATATAGTCATTACTACTTCTCCAGAGGGTTTTTTAATGATATACTACGTAATTTACAGCCACGAAAACAACATGGATATTTTGTATTTACAATTTAAAGAAATATATATGTACATTATCTTACTCTACGTTGTATGTGCCGGATCTCGTGTAATTTTTCCGAGACTTGAGCACAAATGCAGTTCATTCACACTTAACCTTCTTCTACTTAGAAATATGACGGACTTTGTCTTCTGTATAAATCTCTCCGTATCCTGTTTCTAATTCCTCTTCCTGTTAGAAAAACTTGACACTTTGACTACCTTCGATTTCACAACTTGAAATGTCATCCACATTTCTCTTCAGTTTTGTTTACATTGCACAATTAAGTGAAAAATAGTTCTTTATTAATTCAGCACAGTTATATTTTCAGTTTCTTGCAATGGCCGTTATGTCACAATGTACTGATGTTGGTATATATCAAACGAACACTTTCTAACGACTTTCAAAATGCTGTTCGGCACCTTATCATTCACTATTGGGACTGGATAGCTCGGAAGGAGTTGGTGGCAGATGCGTTGTGTGCAATGGATCCTCTCCGGGCCCAAGGTAAGGCGGAGGCATTGCAGTAACAGGCGGCGCCATGGTGGTGACGGGAACCTGCTGGCTCGGGTCGTTATGTGGGTCGCCACCGTAACCGTGCATCTGTAAAAGAAGAAAAAATAGTGATGAAATTAGAAAAAATTAAAACGATGTATAGAAGTAAAGGGTATTTTGTTAGTTAGTGAATCTAAGAAACAAGTAATGAGCAGATGGCTTGATGCGTTATAAATCAAAAACATGAACCATTTATTGATAGTGTTGGAAGCTCATGCAAACACAGCTAGCAAACGTCATCAACTGTTCTGTTATGCAACTTATGAAATTGAAAAATACAAGATTGAAAGCAGCGAGCCTCTTCTTGACCTTTAAACGAATACCTAATCATGTATAGTGTATTTAGTTTTTACGCTATTAATGAAATTTATGTTTTAAAAAGGGAAATCATCCTCTTTGAAATATGATGATTTCTATGAAAATATAAAACAGCGTACAAATATTATTTCTAAAAAAAGAACTCTCCGGTATGCGAAATTTATATTTCTTGTTGATTTAAGTTATTATTTCTGTTTAATTGATAAATGTAGAGAGCGTTCTGCTACATTTTTGTTTTTTGTATGACAGTGTTGTTTTATTTTTCTCCACTACGTTGCATGCTCCCTATATATATAACACAGCCGAAATTATATAAATGATAAAACCACAGTCTGGGAATATATAAATTCAGCTTTTTCCATGCCGCTATATTCTTGTTCTGAAACACCCAACCACGAATATGGGATAGATAAGACGTAGTTGTAATAAGCGAAACATTTGTTTAACGTTTTTCTTTCTCTCAATGTATGTTACATATAGGGAAGGACAAAACGTAAGGTTTGAGATATATATATATATATAGCCTTTCTTCTGCATATTATTTCCTTTCTCTTCTGCATCCGTTCTGGCTAATGTATTATGACCGAAACAGGTCGTGGGAAGTAACGGAAAGAACAGAACTTGAGTTAAGTACAGCCGCTACCGGAAGCCCCAAATTCTTCTGGATCTGTTTTTTGTCAGTATCTCTCCTCTTTATACCACTCAAACTCCTGCCTTATCACCGGACTTCAACTGTTTAGGGTTGCTGTTCGCTAAACATAGTTTCTGATTAAGCAAGCCTGGAAGTGGTGTTGTGGTGGAAACTAAGTTAGACTAGATCAAATTCAAAATCTGGCAGAAGATCCTGTTCATCACAGGTGCTAAAAAATAGAACAGACTGTAAAGGAAGGACCATCAAAGTGAACCTAAAACGTTTTCCGCAATTACATATGGATTTACGAGTACTTTTACTACTTCAAAATGAAGTTCTTATGTAACTTTTAGGATTAAGAGATGAATTCTGCTGCAAGATCTGGGTTCTTCAGCTTTAAAAAGCAGTTTCGATAGTACTTTCGATAGACATGGCCGAGTAAATCTTAACGAAACTTACTCGCTGCTGTAAGAGGGTCAAATGCGTTACCTGCCTGGACATGATCACTTCTACTATTTTATGCAAGAGGAACACAGTCCCCCCCCCAACTCATCGAGCCCTTTTTCGGGGTACATTGTTTCTTTGTTCTAACTTGAATACCAGAAACTATGATACCTTCCGTAGCGTACCTAATCTCTTGAATTCGGTCTTATTGAGTCGCAAACTGGATGTTATATAGATGTAAAACAAAATGATAGAAAACAAACAATATTAATTATTTTATTAACATCATTGTGGGTGGGTAGAGGATTCGGGTAGTATATTTGCTTAGGCCAAAAGGCAAACATTTAAATCTGTAGTTGGCCTTGATTTTCTTTTGAATAGTTTGAAGGAATATATTATTTCAAAAGAAGAGGGAAGTGAGTTATATATAAGCTTTATAGATTTATATTATTAATTTTTCCATTGGAGGTGTTCCAGAGATACAAAGTAGGTGAGTTTAGTTTGGTTCCGATATTTGCGCAAAGCTACATAAAGGGCAATCTGCGCTAGCCGTCCCTCATTTTGAACTTATGGACCAGAGGGAAGGTTTGTCAACAGCACCAACCAACAACTCATGGACTACTCGAACCAAATAACGAGATTCAATTACCGCCCCTATAACGCACTCGTGGTAAAGGGATGCGAACCATGTACCGTCATTTCCACAGTCCCGCTATGCTAATTACCAATCTATGCCCATCCCACGTAGGTCAGAGCGAAGTTGAAATTAATTATAATAGAAAATACTTCCACACTGGGCAGTGTGCTTAAGAATGAATAACACTGTAGAATTTTTACATCCCTGAGTCTACCTCTTATAACACCTAATGTGGCCTTTCAACTAAAAATTACATTGTTTAGGCATTTATAGCGAAGCACTTGTGTTACTACTCCAAGATTATAACTAAAATGTTATAACAGAGGGTTAAGTAAGTTATGCTAAAACGATTTTGAATAAGCAAACAAGCAGACCATGTGACAATCACTGCCGATTAAATTTCTGGTCGGAATGGAATGTACCGAACTATATTTTGACATCGTTTGGCGGTACATGGATGGTGTGATGTCACCGACAATCTAATGCTCTTGGGAAGGTTATGTAACAACCGATGCAAAATCTCAGATCATAAAGATGTATTCAGACGTGGATATCCCTTGTACTTAATGCCATTAGAAAACAAAAGAATATGGGTCAACTTGGAGCACAACATTCATGTAGAAAGAGTCCTGTAAGAACTCGTGATAAGCAAAATGTGTCGTCTGATAACAAATTAAAACACTAATTTCAATGACAAAAGCCGTCCACGTGCCCTAGATAATAGTACGCAATATAACCAAGAATAATCTCAGTATAAAAAGTGACAAAAGTCATGTGGACACAAGTGGCTTCAACGACATATCAGTTGATCCGTCGCATATCTTAAGCAGTTGGAGAATGAAACCATTGGACTGTTGAAACGGGTGCTGGGAAATCGTCGTCACCATACAATGGATGGATTATGGAAAGCAAGCAGGGAGGATCGGTGTGTTTTAGACAGGACAAACTTACACCGGATTCTTTGGTAATGGAAACTACACCGAGGAGCTACGAACTATTGTCAAGATGCACGATCTTCAGACATGGCGTGACAGAACATGAGAAAAAATGTTCAAAACACTTAAAAGATGGCCCCCCAGTGGCACAGCGGTATGTCTGCGGACTTACAACGCTAGAATCCGGGTTTCGATACCCGTGGTGGGCAGAGCACAGGTAGTCCATTGTGTAGTTTTGTGCTTAATTACAAACAAATTTCTTAAAAGATGGAAATATTAAATAGATGACATAACAAATTATGGTAATGTTGTTGATGTTTCGGACCTAAACCTTTTTTAAAAAATCTTAGTTCTGAAAACACATAACTGTTATACTGCGTTCTATATACGCAAGTTAATAAATATAAAGGCAGCATCTCTAACAACAATGTTAAAAAAATTAAGTAAAAGAAAAATATATTTGAAAATGAGATATTTTTCATCATGTTTTCGCATTTGTCTGTCCTTTGGAGCAAATTTTAGCATCACAACAAGAAGATGTGGAACGTCGTGGTTTTTACTGTTAAAATTCTGTGAAACGGGTTCGTCGGTATTACCATTAATTGTGTGACGACGATGTTCTTTGAATCGTTCACTGACCATGCGCCCAGTCTCACCATTGTATAAAGTTCTGCACAAGTCAAAAATTATGCATTATATAACCGATTTTTATATACAAATGAAAAGTCGATAAATATAATGTTAACCCTTAGGTCCAAAAATCATAGTACGGCTATCGATGTTACACAACAACAACCGCTGCATGGAGAACATCCAGAATTAGTGTTGTCTTTGTCAGAAAATAGCGGCATGCTAAGGCTCCAAAATCGTTTTAATACAACGTATTCAACTCTGCATAATCAGTCAAAATAGTAATGTCTTTATTAACTCAATTGTTTGAACTAAAAACTGGCAATTATTTTTCAACTTGACATCTCATTATAAATAGTTTGAAGTTAAAATATACACATTTTCCTGAGAAGTACAAAATTATACTCCATATAAAAGAAACATGAGCACATTTTCTCTTGTTTTTACACTGAGTTGCGTGGAGCTAAATTCATGTCGAACTGTATATACCGTAATTATATTTCACTTTCTTAGATTCTGATCTCACACAATCTAGAGCATATTTACTACAACACTATATGCATGACTAAACATTTCTCTATTATTTACCAAGCAACAAAAATGTCTAAACGAAACTTACACTCTAACGGTTTTACATAAGAAGACACAAACATACACACTTGGCAACACACATGTAAGGGCAAGTAGCACACATTGACTTGGCGGAACTAGCCAATTATGCCGGAGTCTAAGCTGTGCAAGTTTTGTATTTGAACATTATAATTGCTTTTATTAAGTCAATAATCTCTGGCGAGGTGAAGAGCCGCCGTAAGCAAGCTGCTTGTCTCTTGAGCCCATCAATGTTTGGTTTCTTTTCCGAAACCAGAGGCCAAACTCGACCGGATTAATTCAATTGTTTACAGAGTCAGCTCCTATAGCCGTAACTATTTTATTAGTTTTCACTTCTTCCAAAAAGATTGGATTTCACTTTAACTTGTCTACCGCCAACACCTATAGAAAACCCGGCGGTAAATCTTACATAGAATATAACACTGTGATTTGAAATTGTTACTCGTTATGTGATTGTTGACCTGAGAAAACAAACTCGGTTCTGTGATCTTATCTTCTCTAGTAATGGAGAGGGATCAAGCAAACAGAATCTCAGAAGAATCCAAGTCAGGAGATATGTCAAGTAAGTCAAACACCACTCGTGTTGCTGGTTGTAGAGAGAAAAATACTTCATGATAAATGAAATTAGCATTAGCAACGCGAATAATCAAGAGTGATGAATATAATAGATATCCTTGAGAAAACAATGCATGGAAAATGTTTTGGGAAGCGCATGAATAATTGACATTTCTTGAAAGAATAAGAAATTCTGAACAAAATAGAATCCTTTTTATAAGATTATTGTTTGTTTTAATTTTCAAATCAACTTTTATCATTATTATATTACAACTATTACACATATAACTATAGCACTGGACTAAACAGTTTGTGCATGTATTATTTCTTGCAAGCTCTTGAGAAATATGAGTCATAATTCAAAGTTGATGACACCAATTTACAAGAGCGTTACACCAACATCTGAATTTTACCAAACACAATTAATCTTTTCACAATTATAAACTATATATGACTTTCAATACAATTTTAAAAGGTGAAAACCACTAGATTCCTCCTATTAAAGAAACTTCTAAAGCATATCATTAAACAAGAGCAACAACTTTGGAAAATGTTTTGAAATTGTAAAACGATTTGATGACTTTTCAAGTAGTTGATAGTAATGAATTGCTTATGATGAAAAACATAGCAGACGACACTCCATTTTCTTAGTTTTTAAAGCGTGAATTAATAGTATGTTTCACCAAAAGTCATTATAATACACAGGGTATTTCACCTATATTTTATAATCAAACTCTTTGCCTGTATGTGTTTTCAAAATAATGATAATTCAGTCGTTTTTTGTTTGTATCTAAAAACTAAGAGCTAGAACATGAGACAAAAGATAGCAAATAATTGAGATACCATTACAGCTGACAAGAACAAAAAATGATCTAGAATGTTTATTGAATCTGGGACGTTAGATCCTAAATGAGTGAGTAAGTTTATAGGGTTTAACTGTAAATGAAGTTGGCTTGCTAAAATTTTATATTTTTGCACTTATACTTTGTGATTCAAGAAAATGCATTCATTCTGAGAAGTGATTACTCAACACACGAAATTGTTCAGACAAACTTAGTATAGAAAATAAATTTGATCCCCTTCATAAATATTTGAAACACTCACAAATTCTGGTAATATCTGGCTGGGTTTTACCATTCTAATATGTTTCTTTATAAATTTCTAAAATTTTAATGTAACATATAAAGCTATTCGAGAGTAATCTATAAAACATTGGGGTTTGCCTTACCAGTCATATTTATCTATATATGAACACTCTAATATTTTACTGTATTAGCAAATTCTATTTGAACTTTTTCTTTATAATTTTCTAAAATTGTAAACTAATATATAAAGCTATTGGAGAGTAACATATAAAATATTTGGGCTTGCCATACCAGTCATATTTATCTATATACCATAATAGGTTTCAGGCAGAAATCATTATACCCTTGTACATGGAAGCTGCAATTATTATTGGTCATTTAGTCAGTGTGTGTACAAAACATTTATGCCTAAGAGATTATGCCTAGTAGGTAAGGTGTGAAATAATATTGTTCATCTGTTAATGTAGAGCAAGACCCCACAAGTGTTTTGTTGGTAAGAGGCATATACTGTTGTTCGAACATGATGTCATTTAGACCGTTACATTTAAGTGCTGTTATAGAACAAAATGTTATACAGCTGGTAAGAGCAAGAGATTGTGATTAAAATACAAGAAAATTCAGCTGGCAAGAGCAGAAACGATAACACGTGGTTTAGCTGATGGTTGAAATAGGCCTTTTCCAAAAACGATGTTGTTTGGCTGATGGCAGCAGAGGCCTTAATAAAATACAACATTGTTAGCAAGTGAGAGAAGTGGATCTGCATAAAACGCACTGTTGTTTGGCTTGCACAACACTGTGTGATTATAAAAATAATATTGTTTGGCTAGAAATTGCCGTTGGTAATTGAAAGAGAACAGTGTTGTTTAGTTGGGAAGAAAAATAGGTTATTGTATAAGAACAAGTTACATTTAGCTTTTACTAACCATAGAATGCGAAAAAGGGACTATATTGTTGGGCTAATGGGATCTAGAACTTGTAGACATATTGAATAAATGTTGAGAGTGCCCTGTTTTTATAAAAACATAGTGCTTAAATGGTGATAGTAATAAGCTGTCATAAGGCACTGTGTTGTTTAGTTGGTGAGAGCAGGAGGTTGTTATAATATACAATGTTGTTAGGTTGTGGGATCAGAGAGTTGTTACACGATACAATGCTGTTTAGTTGGTGAGAACGGGAGGTTATTATAATATACAATGTTGTTAGGTTTTTGGGAGCAGAGAGTTCTTACACGATACAATGTTGTTTAGTTGGTGAGAGCAGGAGGTTATTATAATATACAATGTTGTTAGGTTGTGGGATCAGAGAGTTGTTACAAGATACAATGCTGTTTAGTTGGTGAGAACGGGAGGTTATTATAATATACAATGTTGTTAGGGTTTTGGGAGCAGAGAGTTCTTACACGATACAATGTTGTTAGGTTGTGGGATCAGAGAGTTGTTACACGATACAATGCTGTTTAGTTGGTGAGAACGGGAGGTTATTATAACATACAATGTTGTTCAGTTGGTGAGAGCAGGAGTTTGTTATAACATGTTGTTAAGTTTTGAGAAGTGTTCTTTGTGACGAGACAGAATATTGTTTACCTGGTGAGAAACAGGTTTATATATAAGAGGCAATAACGCTTAGCACTCACGCAAAGCAACAGGTCTTTATGGAGTAATATAAAGTTTAACTAGCTGAGGTAGCAAAATCATAATTCCTTGCTCTTGGAAGCGTCAGCTACCTGTGGTATTGGACAGAAGAGAAACAAACCGTTTCCTAGAATCAAGATGGAATCAGGGTTTATTGCAATAAGGCCGTCAAGCACGTGCCGTGAGTCGGCATCCCATGCTGGATAACATACCGACCCGCTAGGGTATCTTGTTGTCCCTAGGCTACTTTAAGACGTTATCACCATTCTATACCTTATAATCACCGCAATAAAGTCACTTAGGCGCCACCTGTGGGAACGAAGCACCTTTTCTGGCATTTAAAAGAAAGTGCCGTTAGTTTTAACGTCCTGTACTCAAGGCCGAACTTAACTAAATAAGTTGAGGGAATATCCGTTTTGTGGCGACTAAAAACTAGCTTTAAAAATTTATAGTTATATTCAAGCGTCATCAGAAACGTTGTTAAGAGTTATGAAGCCACGAATAAATGACTAAATAGCTTGGTAAGGCTTAAACCACAGGTTTGTAGCAAGTATTATAAACTAGGTCAGCGTCTTTACGTTAATTCGACAGATATAAAACTGTCTATATTATTTAAGGCAAAAACATTTTTCATTAATAACGTCAACACAAAAAGGGTGATTAACAAAAAGTTGTAGACAAAAAGCATATTATATTTACAAGAACTGAATAAATATTAAGATAAAGAAGCGTATTTAGCTTCGACCAGTATCATATTAGGTTAAGTACAACAGGAGAAAGCCAATTATGCAAGCTGATTGATTGACAAATATAGAGATGTTGGGAAATAATCCTTATGAACGATTTTCAACCCTTCCTACGTAAATTGTAGAACAATGATCCTTTACTACGTTTTCGGCTGTGTATCTTATTACTAGCATTTACAATTCTAATTGTTGTATTTATACAATTAAAGCTTTAAAAAGTGACGTTAGTGGTTCCTATAAGTCTTTAAATAACATGACTTTATGATGCTAAAACGTTTAAGGAAGTCATTTTTGAAAATACGTTTATGAATAATAAAAGATGAAAATGAGTCAAATGAAGAATGGAATATGAAGGGTTTAAATAACCTCTTAGTATTAACTAAGTTTAACAAACTTTTTAACATTAAACAAATTATCATCTGAAATTACACAGAATTATTCAGTTGCATTACATGTCAAGTTAACATCGTATCTTGACTTGTCTCTTTTGATAGATTGGTGAACAATGGAGACAAATATGTTCACTCTATGCTTAATATAACAAGATATGCGTTGGAATTTAACATAATTTATGTACGTATGGCATTTTATTCCAGTCAAAGACAATCTAACAGTTTTAGAACTATATTTTAAAACTACAATGCAACGGGATAACATAATGGCGCGATAAACAATCACTATTATTTACGATTTGTATATTAAAACTTTAAATGGTTGCTGTTAACAATTAACATTGAGTTTTCATATCAATAGCAAACTTAATGGATCCGGGAAAAAACAAAAACACAACCACTGTCAACTAGTAAAGTAATAATATTATACGGTAGCTATAATTCACAGAAGGAAGGGTTTCAGTTTTGTTTTATGGTATGAAGATAACAGGTCCATACCTGATTAACCAGCTGCTGAAAATGTGGTGTATGGGGGTCAATAACCGGTTGCATGGCATACTCCGCCAAAGTTTTCCAAGGTGGGTGGTAGGTTTGAACTTCAATTGGGTTCACCTGTAAAGGGCTCTCGTGTCGCACTGGGCTCGAGGCTACCATTGGAACTCCACGCATGGTGCCAAGACTAACCTGTCGGCCCTCCTGTGGAAGGTAATAAAACATAATTACAAAGCGGTAAATCTCTAATTTCAAATTGGCTAATAGTTTTAAAAGTTTTCTCCTCTGTTTATCTGAAATGGTTAAGACACAGATGGCGTCAGTGACAGCTGTGATTATAAATGATATATAATTCATTTTTCTAACTGACAGCTAGAGATTTTGACGTATATCTATCACAAGTATCAACTCACCATGCACATTCAGAAATGTTCATGGAAATTTCAGAATCATTCTTACAGTTTGAAAAACAAACTCCTCGTTTTATAAATGTTCTGAATATATTAATGTAAAGAAAGAGAAACTGCTAGCAACAAAACGTGACATATATATTACATATACATATATCACTTTAAAATACGAGTTTTCTGCACTGTGAGTGTATTAACACTATTAACATATAAGATAAAAAGTACAATGGCAGATGAAAACAATTTCGTATTCGCAGCCTAGTTTCAGTTGTAGCCTAATGTAAATAACATGCATTTTTAATGCTAAATAAAGCAGTGCTTTGGATGAAAAGTTTGAGCTTTTCAGATACTCCTCTCAAATGGAACGATTACGTACCTTGAAGTATATAAATATTCTTCTTATACACGACTGTATTTCTTCTGTTTGTCAACCCACACCCATTTATCTATGTTGGGTGGGTACTTTCATAATATAAGCTTGTCACGTGACAGAATCATACACCAGCCCGGTGGCTGTCACATACGGGAAATTACCTTCAAATAGGCTTATAGACCTTTTAAACGATCAATACAAATACACAGGCTAATACTGCGAGGGCTGTTGGTTAAAGCAGAGTCCATTAGGCTCATCTCCAACTGATGGATCTCAGAACACAAAAAAGACTTACATAATACCGCTATGAGAACCACCAGTCAACTGTACTGTGCACTAGGAAAAGAGCGGGGAGGTGTGTGTGTGTGTGGGGTGCATTAAGTAACTACCTAGATGTGAATACATTTACAGTATCTTTCTGTGTAGCCCAAGCTATCTTCATCCTAGCTAACGAATGAATGTACATATCAAGCCACTGTTTTAACTATTCCCTAGTCTACATTAATGCAATTTATGGCGTCGACTCCAGTCAGCTTAGCTGATAACTTTAATATCTTTCTGCATACTTAATGATACGTTTACGGATTTCTTCGTATGAAAGTCACCTACCAGAGGATGGTCTTGTGATTGTTTACTCTTTGCTTAAAAATATTCTACTTTAATAAATTATTTATAAAAGGATTTTCAGATATTATGACCTTAGCTCTACAAGGAATGGAAAATATGCCTAATCTCACACAAAGCTAGTATCTTTATAGTAAATAGTCTTTTTTTTTGTCACGTTAGTTTTCCATGTGCTGAAATCTAGGACTTTTGGAGAAAACTCGCTTCCTTACAAAACTCAAAATATATCCCACATCTATATAATTTTGGTGGTGCTAAACACACAAAACTACTAAATGAGCTATCTGTGCTGTGCCCACCGCAAGGATGGAGTCCTTAGTTTTAGCATTATAAACCCTTAAGCTTACCGCTGAACCATGGGGAAGGACACATAAAAATTAAAATAGAATATCCATTGAAAATATTTGATTCGTTTATTTTATCATAAAATAGCAGTTTTGGTCAGCATTATAAAACATATGTTTCACTTTTTTTTTTATATAGACAGATTATACTGTATATTGCATCAACTGATGTACGGTTTTAGACATAAAATTGATTCTGAAAATATTCGTATCATAGGACAGAAAGTAAATGAACAGTAATTCCACTGAGTTAACTATTCAAGACTTGTCTTAATTCTTTCTACGTAAATAAGACGACTTACCAGCTTACATTACGTAGGACTTTTAGGTTTATATAGCTAGGTAAACAAAACAGTACAGAACTACCACTTGAAAATGCACTTGAACGCGAAATCCCGGAAAAAAGTTTGAGAATACCAATCTCCCCCACTCAGAGTTTCTTTATACTCATCTTAACAAACCATGAAATAAAATAACCAAACTTGAATCACACACAAATTAGCTTAAAATAATAATAAACACGGGAAGAAAATTCGTTTTATAACTTTTACAGATCATGAAAATTGCTTTACGGAAAAGTTCTGTTTCACTTAGATTTGTTTTAGTGTTAACTATGATCTGAACCCTGATTATTACCTTAGACAATATCGATTTTAGAAAAAACAGAAGTATGCTTATCTAGGAAAGAAGAAAAAACAACAACACAGTTACTTGCTCATCGAGATAGTTATCTGAACTTTAATTTGGAAGAAACACACACACATTTATGTACCACTATCGCCTGTGTGTGCTCTTTTATGAATTTGTAACACACGTTTACTTATTTTATCGCCTTTGTAATTCTGTAGGCACTTTTAACACTCATATATATATAAATGTATACCGCTCATGTGTTTTTGTACGTATTTTAGCACGCCTTTATTCACACACACACACACACACATATATATATATATCAGCTGC